TTTATGTGTCATTGTACATATAGTATTATTCAAAAAAAAAAAAAAAAAAAAAAAAAAAACTCAATCTGATTTTAAAATTACTAAGATGTGAACACAATAATTCAGATCATATTTACACTTATTGTAAATATTTTATACTTTAAAATATTCTCTTTATCTACTTTATACCTTAAAATATTCTATTTATAAACATCTATATATGTGTCATTGTATATATAATATTTATTCAAAACAGCAATAAATCTTTCTATAAATATTTCTTCTTTTTTTATATTTCTAATATGGTATCAGAAGTATAAGTTCCTACTCTTGGTTCTTCTCTTTTATTATCACTGCTTGGTTTTTGAGTTGGATTTTTAGATCCATTTCAAATCTAAAACTTTGTCGTTCAGTTCTTTTCTTTTGCAGATTGGATTGTTTATTTTCAATTCTCAAACCCTTTCTGAGCTATTTTGTTGAGTTGTTATTTTGATCTTTGCATCTATTTCTTCATATTTTTTAGAGCTTTTTTTTTTTAATATTGTGAGTTCTATTGATTCTATAGCGAGTTTTGAAAGAACTGTAACTCATCCTACTACTGCAATGGTTACCAAAGAAGTGATAGACCAACCTATTATCAACCTTGAATCTCTAAGACATGTTATATTAAATCTTTTTAATACTTTTACTGTCTTATCTGCTACTCCAAGTACTGAATCTTGGTATTTTGATTCTAGTTGTTGTAATCACATGTTTTCAACTATTGCTCATTTCTCTTCAATGTAACCAAATAATTCCTTTCTTGCTAATGGCTCTCCTATGAATGTTAGTCACATTGGCAATATTTCTACAATTTTTTTGATTTTACCAAACGCTAACTTTGTTTCAAAACTTAGTTATAATCTTTTATATATTTTATTAATTATGTGATCTTAACCTTGAAATAACATTTTCTACTCATGATTGTTGTGCGCAAGGCCCACAAATAGGACAATTTCTTGAAATTGGTCTCAAGGTTTATCACTCAAACTAAACCTTTTTGGTTTGTGTACCTGTTTTAAATTCTAGGAACAAACGAGTATTTATGTCTACCCCAATTTG